AGCCTTATACATACATACATACCTACATACATACATACATACATACATACATACATAGATACATACATACAAACATACATACATACATACATACATACATACATACATAGGGTCGTAGGATGTGGGCTTACGTTTAGGGCGCAGCGTAGCGTTTCTCGCCAAGAAGGAGGGACTGCTCCGGCACATCTCCGCACCCTCCTCCAAGCAGACCACCAACCAAAAAAAAAAAATGCCAACAAAAAAAAAAAGGCCAAAAAAAGTCACCCCTCGGTTTAGTAACTCCAAGCCCCTAAACCCTGCCTGTAACCGGAAAACTATGTCTCAGTCGTTCTTTATCATTGTTACCTCGTATCGCCCGGAAAGGAGTAGGCTTTGCGATTTTGGACAAGGGCTTGGTACTTCCGAGAAACCTCCTTCCTTACACTACCCTAATACCCCAGGGAAAACCTCCAACAAAGAAGCAAGGCGCAAAGACAATGCAGAAAGACCCGAAACCCTAAACCCGAAGCCCTAAACCCTAAACCCGGTACCCCAAACCCTAAACCCAAACCCGAAACCGGAAACCCTGGACCCTGAACCCTAGGAGCCCAAACAACAAGCAGAAACTTTGATCACGTGTGCCGAAGGGCTCAGACGGGAAGTGGCGGTCGATGATCGCTGCAATCTTCCGATTGATCTGTGGAAGCTGGGGTTTCGGGTTTAGGGTACAGGGTTTAGGCTTTAGGGTCTGGGGTTTAGGGTGCAGGGTTTAGGCTTTAGGGTTTAGGGTACAGGGTTTTGGGTTTAGGCTTTAGGGGTGTCCCCTCAGAAAAACTCCGTCAGAGCTCTTTGAGGGTTGACGGCTTTGAGGCGAAGGGTTGAAGCTTAGCGACGCGGGCTTGGCTTCACGGCAATTTTTCGGGCTCGGGGTGCAGGGCTTGGGGGACCAAGGCTTAAAGGTAGCGAGGCTTCGCCTCTTGGCATGTAAAAAAGGGGGCCTTAGAAAGTAGAATAGGGTTTTGGGGTATACTATACTAGAATTATATAATGAGGATCCTAAACCCTAAACCCTAAACCCTAATCCCTAAACCCCCCCCAAAAAAAGAGAAATTGGGTCATTACCAAGGCCGAAGGCCCCTATAGTAGGCTCAAGAGCTTCAGGTCAGGGCAGCCATGTAAAGCCCTAAACCCAAGACCCTCCCTTTAAGGTTTAGGGTTTAGGGTTTAGGGTTTAAAGTTTAGGGGGTTCCTTTAAGGGATCTCAACCCTAAACTCCTCAACCCTGAACCCTAAACCCTAAACAGGTGACTTGATGTTGAGAATCAGGGCTCCTCGGGTCTACTTCGGGCTGAGCGGTTGGGGTCTACTGTACCCCCGAAACAACCTACCCGCCTTAAGGACCTATATAGATCAAGAACCCGAAACCCCGAACCCTGATCCTTAAATCACGAAGCCCGAAGAAGGCAGGTGAGATTGTGGGGCCCCCGGGCTGGAGTTCAGGGTTCAGGGCTTGGGCTCACAAGTTAAACCAAGCCGGGCTTGGCAGGGTTTAGGGTTTAGGGTTTCGGGTTTAGGGAAAGCCCGAACTCCTAAACCCTAAACCCCTAAACCCTAAACCCCTAAACCCTAAAGCCCTGAACCCTAAACCCCTAAACCCTAAACCCCTAAACCCTAAAGCCCTGAACCCTAAAGACCCCTCCCTCTCTCCAAAGAGCCCCAAACTTTGGACCTCCAACTCCTGAACCAAAGCCCTCAGCGAACCCAAACCCCAAAAACGCATGCAGAAAGTCGACAGGCAGGCAGGATGACCCCGAAGAGGGCATGCATAATTTCACTCACAAGGGGGTTTAGGGTTTAGGGTTTTAGGGTTTAGGGTTTAGGGGTTTAGGGGTTTAGGGTGACTTAACTTACCAAGCCAACCCTTCCTCCGCATGAACAATCCAGGCAGGGCCGAGGCCGCACTCATCACTCAAAACCCCTCCTGTCGTCATAGGAAGGTTTAGGGCTTTTGGGTTTTAGGGTTTAGGGGGTTTAAGGGATTAAGGTTTAGGGTTTAGGGTTTCGGGTTTAGGGTTTTAGGGTTTAGGGAAGAATACGGAACGCCAGCCGAAACTAATCGAACCATAGAAATTACCCCGATGATGACAGCCCTGCCAGTGGACATCTACAAGTATAGCCAAAGGGGATTTTCTGGTCGCACCAAAACCCACACCCCATAGACCTTGCAAAGCATCATGTCGACGACTTATTTAGCTTTAAGTCCACGGCAAACACCCCGCAGGGTTTGGGACGCTTTTATCTGCGGGGGTGACCCTAAACCCTGAACCCGCGGCTGATTCGCAAAAACTCCGGGGGCCCACAGAAGGTTTTACGGGCGCGCAAGGGGGGGCGGGGGGGTTCTACGCCCCCTGAGAGTCTTGTAAAGGCCTGAACATAGGCCAAGGGCATGTGGCGCATGTTGCCACAACTCCGACAAGTAGGAAGGCTCGTCATGCTAGTCCTCCTTTTCTTCTTCCAGGCCCTCTCCTTCTGACTGCCTTTCTTTCGATTCTTCAAAGTCGAGCAAGAATAGCCGTACAATCTTGAGAAGGTGTTGTCTCCACTCGTTCCCATGAGCATAGAAGTCGTCTTGTTGCTTCTCTTGAGCCTTCAGGGCTGCCAGGGTTCTCAAAATCACCGACCAGTGTCTGGAAGCCTTCTCGTGCGAATCGTCACATGCAAAGTCCACTTCCACAAACTTTGTCTGATTTCTACGCTCCGTGTCCACCGACAATAGCAGCTCCTTGTACACTGCTTTCCGTACAATGGAGTCTGTCTCGTAGTTCAGTAGGACGCTGTCCTTCTTGGCGGTCAGAAGGCGTGCTGTCACGAGCTTCGCGCTCTCCAAGTCATACTGATCTGACAACTCGAGCACATACTCCGGCTTGCGCTTTGCAAGTTTCAGCAAAAAATTCTGACATCGCTCCTTTAGCCCAAGGATCTGGTACTCATCTGCGTTCTCCAAAAGGAGCTCAAGATTGTCCTCCGTGATAGAGGGTGGGAGCGATCCACCGCGCAGATCCAAGTGCTTCAAGACCACCTTGAAATCGTCCAGAGCCTTTTCCTTGAGCAGAATGCGCCCAGACTGAGCTTCCTGCATGCCGGATTGCAACATGTTCGCGAAAACTTCCGAGGCCGCCATCAGGACATGGGAATGCACCTGGAGCACTCCCCCATCCAGCTCCACTTCGACATCGGGCTCCATCGAGAAGCGGGCCCGCTTCGGCACGGGCTCCACCATGGCGATCAGAAGCTCTAAGGCCAAATACAGAGTGAGCAGCTCGGCCCATGGATGATTACGCCTGCATGCGTGACATGTGGGCGGGCAGGCAGGTAGATAAGCCCAAATCCCAACACATGGATGCACAGTTGACCAATGTTCAATGTTCTACGGGGGCCGTGTTGCCATCTGCAGGCTGGAGTTGAAAGAGGCATTGGTGTGTAATTGAATGTAGTTGCGTTTGACACACATGCACATATGCATGCAATGACACTCTCACGCACGCACGCACGCACACACACACACACAAACACGGACATGTACATATTCTCACACATACATACATACATACAT